GGGAAAGGGGGAAAGGGAGAAAGGGAGAAAGCATGAAAAGCATGAAAAGCATGTCATTTTTATTTGCAGGGTGCTAAACCAAACTGTCCTCTCCCCCCTCCAGAAACCCTATCCCCATCCCAGGCCACAGGTTGGAATGACAGCCTGCCATCCTCCAGGGCTCAGTGTACTCGTCCCCGTCTGCAGGAAGCATCCCCAATGCCCCCATCCGAAGTCCCCCTGCCTCCTGTGTGTGTCCTGCCCTGTGGCTGGAGCCCCTGGCAGCACTGGGCAGAGCACACCTGGACCACTGTGCATTGCTGAGAGTGCCTGGGGCTGGCAGGGACATCTGGCAGGGCCAGGGTCTGCCGTGTTCAGGCAGCTGGGACCAGGAGTTCTGGAGATTTCGGTACCTGCAGGAGTGAGGTCAGCCAGCTCCCCCCAAGGAGGAGTCTTGGTCTCAGTCAAGGGATAAAAGGTGTAAAATCAGCTCCGGGCCTCTAGGACATGCCCAGTCATTTCTTACAGTTCATAGCTCCTGGCTCGTGATCACATGTCTCCACTCCTGACCTGCCTGGATGATTTCAATTTTGGCACAGGTGATATTTCCAACAAATGGGGCTTCCGGCTCTCACTTCCAAAACTCTTCATCACCATAGCCCACACGGTCATACCCTATGCCCATGCTGCCCACTATGGTAACCACTAGCCACATGGGACTATTTAAATTTTAACCCATTAAAACAAAATTAAAAACTCAGTTCCTCAGTTGCGCTAGCCACATCTCCAATGCTCAAACATCACAGGTGGCCAGTGGCCACCATATCGAACGGCATGAAGGACGTGCCCATTATTGCAGAAAGTTCGGCCGGAACTTGTTATTGACATCAACTGCCGCTCTCTATGATCAACATCCAGTGACCCTCCTGCCCCAGAGACCTTCACCTCTGCCCTTTACAGATTCTGATTCTGATACAGCCTCGATCAGTTCAGTCATACTGGCATTTCCAGGATCAGTCCTAGTTTTCTGTGGCTGGTGTGACCGATTAGCACAAGCTGGCTGTTTATTCTCTCCAATTCTAGTCCTGGAGGCTAGAAGTCTGAGTTCACGGTGTCAGCAGGAGCGTGCTCTCTCTGAAGGCTCTAGGGGAGGTTCCTTCCTTGCCTCTTCCTAGCGTTTAGTGGCTGCCAGCAATCCTAGGCTTATGGCTGCATCACTCCCACTTCCCTTCTCTGCCTTCACGTGGCCTTCTCCCTATGTCTTATCCCTTCCCTTCCCTTCCCTTCCCTTCCCTTCCCTTCCCTTCCCTTCCCT